AAGCACATCAACAAGATTATCTCAAAAGTTCTACTTTTAAAGAAACGATTTTGACAAACAACCCAATAAACAAGAAAAAGAGATTAACTCAACCGATGAAATCAATTTTTTGAAATTTTGTGATCAAATTCCACTCCAAAATCTAAACCTAATAAGCCAATTTTTATACCTGGAATTTAAAGATGTAAGTTTTTCCCAATTTTGACAAAAGGAGCAGATCAACACATGGATTACAAAGGTTTTCATTTAAAGAAACAATTATTCAACTTTTAAAACCCATATACAAAAGAAAATAGATGAATATTTGAAATTACAAATTCCTTAATCCTTTATCCCATAAATTTTTTGCTGAAAAGAAAAAAGACATTCAATTTTGAAACCCGTCGATGAATTTTTGAAATTATGAATCCTAAAATAAGAAAGACCTTGAATTGTACATGGAATTCCGAAGTTCTTTGTAAATCTTGTGAAAGAAGATAAAAGTATTGGGATTTTGGAATTCCGAAGTTCTTTGCAGGTCACACATTAGGCCTATGGAACCTGAATATACTCAAGGACACAAAATCATGTTCTCCGACATGTATCCATACATTAGGTTAGTCAAGTTGCAATGTGAAAATGCAACTTCTCTTCTGCCTTTAAATGGAAGCTCCAACTTGGTTCTTAGCATTATATATTTTGCAGGGGTGAGTGTTCCAGCATTTGGCCATGAAATTGCCATTTGCTTTAACAATGTCGATGGAAAAATTCAGTTGAAATTCGTACTTGGTGCAAATTCGCCCCAACAGAAATTTTGTGTTATAAGTAACTTCATACGAATATAACTAAAATGTGTAGTTCAACGAAGTAAAAAGTGACATTATTTACACCCTGTTACGTATGATGGTTTGGCCTGAAAAAAAAATAAATGGATTAATTAAGCAGTAATTCTCTATATTATATCGACGCATTTTGAGATAAAGTCTCATACGAGTTTATGGGCATAATCAACTCTAATGTACCCAAAAGCAGTGAAATGTGAGACAATAACGGTGCAACTATACCACTAAGGACGAGCTAAGGGGACGTGGCTCCTCCAACAATGACAATAATAAAATTTTTTGTTTTCATTTAGCTTATATAAATATTTGTCTGTAAATAATTTAATTATAAAATTTGCAAATTATTAAAAGGGGCGGGGTGAATAAGAATGGGTTTACACGAAGACCCCCTCAGCTAACCCCTTGTTCGTTTTGTATTTGGGCTTAAATCCTATTAACTTGCTTGATTGTAAAAACCAGCTTGCTTCTTCTTCTTCCAATCAGAGCTTCCCGTTAGGCTTCTTTCTGATACTCTGGTTCTTGTCGAACTCAAAATAGTGCAAGCCGCAAACGGGTGATATTTTGAGTTCGACACCATTCAGCGAGTTCACTGGGAGAGTTTGTCTCTCTGTGAAATGCACGAAACCCATTAAAACCCAATACTTTGATTCTGATATCCTTCTACCCATTTGGACTTGTATGCAGGTTCAATCCAATACCCAAACCAAACCCTTAAAAACCCATGCCAAAATGCTCAACTTACTACTGGAAACTCCTCTGCAGGTCAATCCAAGGTGGTCTCAAGAAGCTGAGCCTCTGTCCAATCGCACCATGTGAGTTGTTAACTTCTTCGCTTCACTCTCACTTTTCAGTTCTTGCAATTCCATCAAACCAAGCCCTTCAAACTGAACCCGTAAACAATGATGAAACTGAGCCCCCAATTTCTAATGAAATCTTCAAGAAAGGTACCAAATTGGGTTCTTACAAGTCGGGTGATTCAACTTTCTATTCACTGATTGAGAATTACGCAAAGGTGGGTGATTTTCGGTCATTGGAGCAGGTTTTGGATCGAATGAAACGTGAAAGGCGAGTTTTTATTGAGCAGAGTTTTATTCTAATGTTTAGAGCTTATGGAAAAGCGCATTTACCCAATAAAGCTGTAGAATTGTTTTATAGAATGGTGGATGAATTTCAGTGTAGGCGAACTGTTAAGTCGTTTAATTCGGTGCTTAATGTTATTATACAGGAGGGACATTATTCTCATGCTTTAGAGTTTTATTCCCATGTTGTTGGTACTACGGGCATGAACATTTCACCCAATGTACTCAGTTTTAATTTGATTATTAAATCCATGTGTAAGCTCAGATTGGTTGATAGAGCAGTCGAAGTGTTTAGAGAAATGCCACATAGGAATTGCACTCCTGATGTGTTCACATATTCTACGTTGATGGATGGGTTATGCAAGGAGAAAAGGATTGATGAGGCGGTCTTTTTGTTGGATGAGATGCAACTTGAGGGGTGCATTCCGAGTCCTGTGACATTTAATGTGTTGATTAATGCATTATGCAAGAAGGGTGACTTGGGACGTGCAGCGAAGCTTGTTGATAATATGTTTCTTAAAGGCTGTGTTCCGAATGAAGTGACTTATAACACCCTTATCCACGGTTTGTGTCTCAAGGGTAAGTTGGATAAGGCAGTTAGTCTTTTGGATCGAATGGTTTCGAATAAATGTGTGCCTAATGATGTGACATATGGTACGATCATCAATGGACTTGTTAAGCAAGGGCGAGCGGTTGATGGGACTCGAGTGCTGATGTCTATGGAAGAAAGAGGGAATCATGCAAATGAGTATATTTATTCAGTCCTTCTTAGTGGACTGTTCAAGGAGGGAAAATCTGAAGATGCAATGAGATTGTGGAAGGAGATGCTGGAAAAGGGATGTAAACCCAACACCATTGTCTATAGCACTCTTATAAATGGTCTTTGCCGAGAAGGAAAACCAGATGAAGCCAAGGAAGTATTCAGTGAAATGTTGAGTAATAGTTGCATGCCCAATTCCTTCACTTATAGTTCTTTAATGAGAGGTTTCTTCCAGACAGGTCAAAGTCAAAAAGCCATTCTTTTGTGGAAAGAAATGGCAAACAATATGCGTAATGAGGTCTGTTACAGCGTCCTAATTCATGGTTTATGTGAGGATGGTCAACTCAACGAGGCCTTGATCGCCTGGCAGCAGATGCTGGGCAGAGGATATAAACCTGATGTTGTGGCTTACAGTTCAATGATTCATGGCCTTTGCAATGCTGGTTTGGTTGAGCAGGGTTTGAAACTTTTTAATGAAATGCTTTGTCAGGAGCCTGAATGTCAACCAGATGTCATCACTTATAACATACTTTTCAATGTATTCTGCAAGCAGAGTAGCATCTCCCTTGCCATTGATCATTTAAATAGGATGCTGGATCGAGGTTGTGATCCCGACTCAGTTACATGTGACATCTTCCTGAGAAGTTTGAGAGAAAAGCTTGACCCGCCTCAAGATGGGAGGGAGTTCCTAAATGAGCTTGTTGTCCGGCTATTTAAGCAGGAGAGGATAGTAGGTGCTTCCAGAATTGTAGAAGTGATGCTGCAAAAGTTTTTGCCACCCAAAGCCTCTACTTGGACAAGAGTTGTACAAGAGCTTTGCAAGCCTAAGAAGGTCAGAGCAGCCATTGACAAATGTTGGAGCAGCCTATATTGCTAATTTTTAAGTAAGGGTTTTTTTTTTTTTTGTTCTCCTCAAAGCTTGGTTAGACTCTAACTGGAACAATATCTTGCTTAATTAGGCGATCAAAGCTTAGATATTAAACTCGTAAGAGTAAAAAAGCTAGAGTTGATAACTTTACTTTTCAGGCCCCTGCCCCCCGCCCGCGCCCACTAATGTATGTGATTTTTCTTTCAACCACATGCAGTCCACTTGCCTTTTAGAGTTGGGGATGTACCTTATAATTTTGAAGATTGTTTATGATACAAATTTGTCTTTGGATCTAAGGAGACATAGTATTCCAAGAAATGGAAAATCAATATTTCGTCTCTGCATAGAGTAATGTTATTTTAGTATCAGTTATCGTTTTATAACATATTTTATATATTCAGTTGGCATAGTTTCCGTCCATTGTACTGGAGAAGGAAACTAACAAAAATATGGAGGCTATTTTTTGGTTGGAGGATTAATGATATATGTGATCCAGCTTTTCTTAGGTACTTAGCATTACTGCCATCGACATTATCTACTTTACATTTCTACCAAATTGTTCTCATTTGACACTTTTCTGAAAAAGTAGATTTTCCTCAAGGTCTCTTACAGATAGCACTCTTGCAAATAGAGATGTGCGGACATCTGTTTCATGAAAATGTGCAAACCTTCAACAGACTCCCTCCCATTCATTCGCAGAATATGTCAAATCTGCAGATGAGCAAAGGTACTTTACTGAAACTTATGGACTCCAATCAAATCTCTTATTTGTGTTTTTATTTTGTTTTATTTGACTTTATTTTTGTTTCAGAAAGACATAGGCAACTAAGGTTTTAAATTTTTCTTGGTTCTAAGTTGGTGCAGGTTGACCTGGGACAAGTAAACAATAAGCTCGTAGCAGAAATTGAAATTTCTGTTGGTAAAATAGTGAGTTTGTAGTCAGGTAAGGACATGAAGACGGTTCTCTTATCTTCTGCTTGACATGTTATGTCATTGAATTTCTTGAACCTTGAATTACTCTCTCTTTTTTCTTCTTCACTTTTGTGTGTGTGTGTGTGTGTGTCTAAGACTAGATTATCTGTTAATGTATTAATGCTAAAAGAGTGAAAAAGCTTTCATAATTTGACAACCATTAACAGGTAATATCTCAAAATCTGCCCTCTGCAACTTTTACTAGCATATCAAATTTCCAGGATCCATGTGCAATTTAGTGACACTTGTTTAGGTGAGTTGTGAAATGTGCTTGAAAAGTAACTTCGATACTACATTTTGTACTCACTTTAGTTGCTGAGAAGACTGAGAAAAGGAGAAGTTGAACAACAATTTTTCAGTTTTTGTAGATTGTATATTATAAAACAAAATCTCCACATATCTATCATAGTATGTCTTCTTCCTCTAAGTGTGAGAAGGATGTCATGAACCCAGCCTTCTATATTTGAATTTGAACTTTTGTCCACAGATTAATGCATTTGTTTTTATTTTTCATATGTCCAGCGTGCATTCTATTATGTATCCAAAACCAAAGATTACTTTGACATCTGATATTTGTGTAATAATCACACTGCTGCAAGTAGTACAGTTTTGTTTATTGTTACATTAAGAATAATTTGTTCTCAAAACTAGTTGCATCATAATATAAAATGAAACTGAAGAAGCATTCCTACGAAGAACGTTCAGACGGTACTGTGATTTCAAGGCTCTGCCTTCTCTCTGATGTTGCTGTCATTGTCTTTCAGGGATTCTGGCTGGTCTTGCTTATGGGCCATATCATAAGTTGCATGCAGACCAAAGAAGACATAGTAAATAAGCATTACTACGGTGCAGATTCCAAATCTTTCAAAAGCTTTAGAACCCAGAGATCCCATAAGAAAAATGTTTGTTGCAATTGACAAGGATGGCAACCAAGGAACCAGCGGAACCCCCCAAACTTTTGGTGACCTCTGTTGGGGTAAAAATACTGCCATTGCCAAAGTCCCAAAGAACCAAAGAGGAACTGTCACAACATAACCAACCCAACCATTGGGATTTAGTCCCCAGTAAGCCGAAGTCCCCATGGAAGAAGCAATGATGATCAGCAAGAAAATGACTAGCTTCAAAAGATGTTGTTGTGGGGTGATTTCTCTCACGTAGTACCTCCTCACTAGAAGTGCGACAGCCATCATCATGAAGATAAAGAGTGTGCTCACTGATAACAGACCTGCCAAAACATCCAAGCTCGAAAACAAAGCAATACAAGCACTTGGAATGACAATCAAGACTGTAGCATTTATGGGGGTTCCTGTCTTTGGATGGACAAGAGCAAACCATGGTGGAATCATGTGGGCTCGTGCAATATGAGTGATATACCGTGCCTCTCCAAGTGTCCCAACCAGAAGAACAGTGGTCATTCCCTTCAGGGCACCTAGGGCTACCAGGTACTTGGCCCATGTCATGCCCACACTTTGAAATGCTACAGAGTAGGCTGCATTTCTGTCTATATCTGTGTATTTCTGCATCATAGGCAGTGAAACTGCCATTAAACAATATACGACAGTGATGATTGACATTGATCCAATTAATCCTATCGGTATGTCTCTGGATGGATTTTTGGTTTCTTCAGCCATGGTGGCGATATTGTCAAATCCTCCATAAGCAAAGTAAACAATTGCAGATGCTTGAAAGACTCCTTTAGCCCCAAACGGAAAAAAGGGTTTCATATTTGATGGGTTGGCATGGATAAATGCTGCAATTATCACAAACAGAATTAAAACATTATTGACAACAGATGCGATCCAGTTTAAGTAAGAGGTCTTCTTTGTGCTGATCATTGCAATTGTTGCAGCTATTGTCAGAACAGCAACAGCTATTGGGTCAAGTAGATTGAACCCCTCCGTCAGATTTGTATGGATGCGTAATGAGTTGGAGGGACGATTCAAGAGTGATGTGAAGTAAGAAGTCCATGATCTAGCAACTGCTGCACTTCCGACAAAGCCCTCAAGAAGTATGTTTCCTGCTGTTATGAATGCTATAAAGTCTCCTAATTCTATCCGCAGGTAAGCAAAAGCTCCACCTGCCACAGGGACTTCCACTGAAAATTCTGTGTAGCAGAGGACAGAGAGCATTGCCGAGACACCGGAAGCAACATAGGACAAGACAATAGCTGGTCCAGCATGGTCATGAGTTTCTTGCCCAGTAAGCACAAAGATGCCTGCACCAATTACTGAACCAAATCCAAACCAGATGAGACCCCACCATGTGAGGCAACGCTTCATGTCATTTTCACTTCGCTTTGGAAGTTCCCCAATCTCATTGTTATCATCTGATCTGCTTATGAGACGGTTCTTGAACCTGTAGCCTGTTTGTGACAGGGCGGTCCGATATGCGCTCCAACTTTGAAAGGATTCTTCTGGTAGGAAATCTTGTTTGCTCCATCTCCAGTAACTTCTTGGCTGAACCTCTTCACCCACTACTCCCATGGAACCCATTTTTCTATTTTTCCCTTGTGTCCTTCCCTAGCACTTATCTCTTATGGCAATGTGAAATGCTAGAATATGGGATCCTGTCCTGAGATTTGGAATCTTATCTCCTAGTTCCCGAATTATTTCTTCAATTATTGATAGTGAAACTGAGGTTGTGAGCTCAATGCATAAGTCAAATGATGCGGACGATTTAAGAGACTTGTAAAAGCTTGCTTTTACTTACAAGTCTAGTGGGCCGATTTTCTTGGATTGTTTGGTATATTTGATATGATTTGTTCAGAAGTCTGTAATGTTGACTTGAATAATGGCTACTTGCATTGTCATTTTGTGAGAATCTCCTCACTACTTGCATTGCCATTTTGTGTGAAGTTTCCACTGCTTGGCCGGGTTGTCTGTCTTTATCTACCCAAAAATAAATGGAGATGCTGCCGTTTATGAACAAGCCAGAAATAATAAATATCTTTTATTATTATTAAATATCGGTCTTGATTTTCACGAGAGTGATGGGCTATTGGCCTCTTAGCTCATACCACGACCATTTTTCCTGTATTATAAAATACAATATAACAAAGCCATGCGCTTGCTTTAACATTTATTTATATAATCATGCCTCGGAGCTGCAAATTAAAGATTGTTTAGTTAAACAAGAGATTTTGTAGCTCAAGTGGTAAATAGCGTTACTTTTTAACATGAGATTTTATGTTTGATTCCCCCGAATATCCCTTTGTAGCAAAAAAAAAATTCTTTAATTAAGACAGAAAAAAGAAAAAGAAGGTATTTCAAGAAGAGCCCTTTTTTTTTGGGGGGGTCAAAATTCAAGAAGAGCCTTTGAAATTGATCCAGGATGATGATGAAACGTTCTTTAATGAGCACTTGAAGAAGCAGTAGCAAATTACACTTTCCTTTTTCTACAATTTTTTTTTTCGCGAAGTGTTTTTATTTTATTTTTCAAATATTCTTTCTCCAAATAAGTCTATGGAAGAAAAATTTGCAATTAAATATGTAATTACAAATTTGTAATTGGCATTGCTCTAAGCTTTTAGTGAAGTCAAGGCTGTAAAATTGATGTACCTGGGCTACCATACGTCCGTGAGCAATCCTTTACTTGCAGTGAAGTCAAGGCTGTGAAACAAAATTAAACACTGAGGCCCACATGCAGTGATCCAATTGGAATTTGTAGGAAAATTCAAAGATGAGTTTCAACTATTGGAAACAGCGTGTAGAAAATTCAAAGATATAATTCAAGTTCTACCCTGTGAGAATGAAATCTTGATTTAAATCAATCAGCTGTCAATTTTTTGGACTTAATTAAAGATTAAAATGTACATGTCCTTACAAAACTTGATTTTCCTCCCGCAGTTTCTTATTATCACAAAATGCCCACTGATAACAACTGTTTCTTCTTCCTTGGTACAAACAACAATATCTTGTTTGAATGAAACCTATTGGCCAGTGAACCGTAGGGAGCTCATACAAGTTATGTTTCTTGTTGAATGAGATGAATTGCAAAAATCATGCTTTCCACGTCCCTCTCATGCTAACAGTTTATGGCTGAACAAGACTGGCACTAAAAATGCATAAAAAATTAAATAAAGAACTATCATCTCCAGGATTTCCAAGCCTTGCTCATTTTAGCACCAACATATCTCATGGCAGTAATGCCACCAGCAGCCAGGAGACCAGACACGGCCTGTCTTGCACTTGAAACCATGACCTTTCGCTGCAGAATAGTCTGTATGCATTTAGCAGCCTCGTCTTTGGAGCCAATCACAATTTCCTGAATAACTCGACCTACAATTGAAGTACAAGAGTGTAATGATTGACTACAATCCAGATTCAAGAGTTACAAGTACATATGTTAAACTACCACCCTAGTTAAAACACAATCACTATCGCTTTTCCATTTATAACAAACAAGCAATATTTTCCTAAAAAACTTTGGGATCTGGTATAATCATTAAATCTGAACTCAGATCAATCCTTAAGAAACCTTTGTCCTTATAAGCCACTGCAGATGAGTTAAGGTTCATACCAGAGTCACACAGTACTTTCTTTTCTCCTAGCTCCATCGCCATTTGGCTTCTGATCATTGGGGGCAGAGAAGAAACAAGAGATCGAGCTGCTGATAAACCGCCATCCTGTTTTAACTTTCAGAAGAATTAGCCATCTAGTGAAGTCTTAAAGTTGGTATCTAGCTTAAGTTCTAAAACATGCAATGGGGTTCCATACACCCATTAAATCAACGCTTCTGTTTTTCTTTTTTCTTATTCTTTTTCAACATTTATAAGAAGCTATAAATCAACTCTTTGTCAGTAAAAGTAATGTTGGATCGAGTTCACACTGCAACCTAAGGGTCAGAATAGACCTGAGATATGATTGGTTGAGTATTCCCAGATAACGAGCATCTCAACAACTCTTTGGTCTCATACTCTTCAATAAAAGGCTTATACATCGACCGGAACAATTCAAATTGCCCTTGTACTATTTTCTTCACCTGCGGTAGATAATGTAATTAAAGAAAATAGATTATGTTTGGCCATATAATCACAAGACCCACCAACTGAATGAAGGTTTGTGGATTTATGTAACCACTGATTGAGCTTTACCTTATTTCTGTCCTCTGCAAAAAGCATACGCAAGTCGCCCATATATGAGAGGCTACATATTTTGGCATACAGTTCTTCCTGCATTAATTGGAATATGTTATAGAACTTCAAAAAAATTTAAAATCATTGAGCAGTGACAAAGAATCAGACCTCAGTGAACTTGGACGGCAAAAGAAGGAGAGCTGCAGACACTGCAGCCCTCAAATTAACCGAGTTTACATTTGCGACATCCAGATTATCCAAAAGTACATGAACCTGTGAAAACTCTCATGTTCAGATATAAAGACAATATATGACAACATGAACTAGATGAGACAATCCAAATCTTGAGTCTTCAACAGCATAGCATAAGAACATGTATTTAGTTTTCATTAGTTTCAGGCAATTGGCGTGTGCCACAAAATATTTCAATAAGGTAAAAATTTGTTATATCGAATTAGCAAAGGGTTTTTTTTTTCCCCTAGAATTACGACACTACAAGACTATCATTGAATATGATTGAAAGTTCTTAAACTTTTATCATCCTCTTGCAATGTGAAGGGTGCTGCTGCTAGTTATAAAATAATGTAAAGTTAACTAAAATCAAAATGAACGAAGGACAAATATGAAGCTGAAGATCAATCTTCCACAAACATAAGGACACACACAAAAAATGAGAATCAATGAAGAAGACATACTGGTTTTTGTAATCGGCCACTCAAATAGAACCTCTCCCAATTTAGTATGTCCTGAACCAAGTCGTGCATGCGAACAACCCCATACTTGAACATCTGTAAAAATTACTCAGTGTGACGAATGCGTAACAAAATACAAGATGTGAAAGATTACAGAATGTGAACCAAAATACTATTTGCACTATCAGTTTAAAACATGAAATGGAAGCTCAGACACCAAAGCAACAGCCTAGACTTGAATCTACGAGTGACTGACTGATCAATACCTTGTCGTCCCAGCTAACAAAAGGATTGAAGTGCACTCCTACACCAATTTCATCTGCAACGTCGGTAATCTAGCATGGATGGGTATATTGTGTCAGAATCAATGAAAATAAAACTGAACATGGAAGCGGAGAGAGAGAGAGAGAGAGAGAGAGAGAGAGAGCAGTACCAGTCTTGCCCCACCAAGAAGCACCATCCACGAGGCATAATGATCGTTGTTCAATGTCAGATTCTGGTTGTACATACGCAAATTAGTAAACACCATGATTAATTATAGAAACATCTAGAAGAGACATATGGTATGTGTTGAAGTCTAACGCTTACCTCGGAATGCCATTGTTGGGGATTTGATACACCAAGAATGCAATCTACCATGGATGACTATCAATCCAGAAATCACAAATGCAAAGCGAAAGTTCAAAATTTATGTAGTTTAAGTAAACAAACAATTGTTAAAAGAGTGAAAAAGAGCTATAGAAGCAAAGTAGAAACCTTTGCACTGCCAGGATTGTTGGGGTGGAGAGATGAGCCATAGACACAGCAGAACTCAACAGGGGGAAGAGTTTTGAGAAAACTTTGAAGCTGGGCTTTGTCGTGGTTTTCCATACTAAGCTAGCAGTTCACAGGACATTAGTATTCTGAAGAAAGACTGAAGAGGAATTTCATCAAACACATCAAGTGCAAGCCAAGATGTGGTCTTTCATAGTCAAACTCTTCATTCTTGGCTACACGAGTTCCATAATATTTTCGTCTTTCCAAATTTTCTAAGTAGTTATTATTGTTATTTTTTAAATACAGGTTCTGCGGAAAGTGGCAAGGCAACTTCAGGGTTTAGGGTTTTGGTGATTCGGGTGGATACCGGATACTGGACGGATGCTATTCCCTTGTTGGGTCCTTTTGGTAGGTTTTCTTCCAGGCCGGAGGCTAAAACGGTCATTTTATTAGGTTCTATTTTTTTTGTCACTACCCAATTTAACTTGTTAGAGCATCTCCAACCGATATGTCAAAAATGCCACATAGACATTTAACGGCTAGAAATAATATCTCACATCACTCCAACCGAATTGTCAAAGCTGATGTGGAATGAAGGTTGGAGGTTCAGCTGTTATTTTTGACATACCAAAAGCAAGATGTCAAATGAATATTTTATTATTTTTTAAAGACAGTTGGCTGCTACTTTCATTTATTATTTTCCTTTTTTATTTTTTTTCTTCTTTATCTTGAATGATTTGACTGTTACAATAATTATTTATTTGACATATCGGGTGGAGTGTAAAACTGTGTAAATATCAAATTGCCACATCAGCCATCAAATTTAAATTTGATGTTTGGTATTTGACATCTCCCTTGGAGATGCTCTTAGAAGGAGAAAAAAAGTGTTGCTATTTGAACCTTACCACCTAGGGATGGCAACGAGCCGGTTCGGGGCTGGGTATGACAATAACATTCCGTCCTAGCTCTCCATCCCTGGTAAGAATTTTCAGGTATTCAATTTTTGTGTGTGAAATCTCTCCTTCCTTTTTAGTGAACATAGTGTTGTGTTTTTCAGTCCAATTGAAAGGGAGCATAATCTCATAATCCAAAACAAGAACTTCTGAGCAAAAACAATTAAGATTTTAATCCGCTCAATCCATACAATCACAATGCCGGATAAAAAACCAAACTTGGGATCTTAGAATCCCATGAGAGCCCTTTAAAGAAAATGCAGTGGAATCTCACCAAATGTAATTACAAAAAACAAACCCCCCCAAAAACTTGGACCTCCCACACGGAAAAATTAGC